ACCTACCTCTCTCTCTCTCTCTCTCTCTCTCTCTCTCTCTCTCTCTTTGAGATCTTCTCGATTTGAATCCTGATGTATGTGTGTACGATCTCGAGATTAATCTTCTCGATCGTCCGTGAGTTTTGTGAGTCACCGCGAGAAGCCGGCCCGTGACCTGAGCCCATCAACCGACCAATCAACCCCGTGTGCTACGATCCACGACAAACCAGGAAACGAATTTGAATGCAGGGAGAATCGGCGGCAGCGGCGGCGGCGGCGGCGGCGGCGGCGGCGGCGGCGGCAGGGCGAATGCCGGGCATCGTCGAAGTCACCACGCCGGCAACGCCTGGCAGTTCGCTCAAGACGCCTAGCACACCGCGAATTGATATCAGCAGGGCGAGCAGTTCTTCGCACCATGAGGATAGTAATTCCAGGGACTCGTCGCCCGAGCGGGAACTTCTCGCAGGTGATCAGCCTTCCAGTCTAAATTATCCTTGCGATCCGTAAAATCCTTGCGATCGTACGTCCATCCTCTTCCGTCGATGTTTTCCGTCCATGTACATCGCATATCGCATATATTTCTCGACTGTATGTCAAGCAAATATCAAACAGAGAGGTTCGATATTGCTAATTCAATTTACGAAATTTGCGTTGCGATCCGCAAACTGTGTGTGATTTGATTAATAATTAGCGAGCTAGTCTAAATAAGCGATTACTATTAATATTCATGATATTTGATTCGATTTAATATTCGATTTAATATTCTTGTTGCTTTGCTGTGACTTTATTATTAATTCTTGTTATTTTACTTTACTTAATCGTCATATTCAATAAGGAATAATGTAGCACCAAATGATATGATGAATATGTAATCGTCGCAAGACAAATCTGTGTGATTAAATCGAGAATGATTTACCGAGGTAAAAAGCGAGCTTTGCGTGCACGATCCGATTGTGCGCGATATTTCGAATAGCTTCTGAAAAAGACTTTCTTAGGTCAAGGTTCTGATCGATTCAACTAGGTCTAAATGGGTCTATTTGTACCGATCATCCATCTCGGTTATTCAGCGAGTTCTAGCACGACACATATTAACTCATTGAAATTTGGATATCTGTTGAATTTCTTGCTTGATCATTGCCGATACAATTTTTTGATTAATTTTCATGAATAAAAAATACTTTTCCTATCATCATCGGCCTCTTATCAATGTCGCTGACGTACTGTACGTGTCGTTATGTCATCAAAATGTTTTTGTAAAAATAAATGCAAGTAGTTTTATGCTACTATGAAATGAAAGTCTTTTATATCAAGGAATAGATTTTTTTAGTCTATCGGTGTTATTAATTACATTAAATTTATTTATATGTGTATTACACATTAATGACATAATTCACGTATTTTGCGAGAAATATGAGAAAACATGACATAGACTTATCAATATGCAAAATGCATCAATGCAAAAAGAGAGAAATGTTTCGTCTAGCTTTAAACGTCCGACTGAATCTGATATAGATTTTATAAAAATGATTTCGAGAACATTGCGTCGATTGATGAGCGAGAAAGTTACTCTAAAGAGAGAGGAAATGCTTTGCTAAATTTCTAGGTGCGGATCCTCCATCCGGCTGCAAGCTGACCCTGGGCTACAAGGAGGATGCTCAAGATCTCAGGTCCTCTACGGAGGAACTGGATCTGCAAGATCCCGTTCACGAGCAAGATCTCAGACGAGAGTCCAAAAGGCGAAAGCGGAGGGAGGCCGACGGAACCCAATCGGAATACAGCGGCAAGCAGTTAGGTCAGGACCGTGAGCGCAAGGACAGTAATTGTTCAGAGATATGCTTGCTCAACATCAGCGGTCGGACGTCGAGACTGTCGTCCGTTGGCAGCCAAGGTTCCGGTGTTTCCGGAAAACTCTCAGTCATGTCAGCAACTTCCTCCAGGTACTAAAAATAATATGTACGTTATGTAAAATTTAACAAGATACCTTTGATCTCTGTTCTCCAACAGAAATCAAATCGTGTCATCATATCTCTTTTGAAAAACATCCAATCGACACTCACTCCAATCGACCTTTGGACTTTTATCCATTGATTTTTCTCTTCACTCGCCACGCGACTTATACCGTTTGCCCTTTGTTCTACATCAATCAAGTCACCAAAACGAATTGAACGAAGAATAAAACTATCCTTACTGTCGTTGCTTATTATTATTTATTACTTGCACGAAGTAATTGAATTTTCTTTGTAGCCCATTCGAGGAAGATCTGTCTGATGGAAAATGAATTATCTTCGTTAAGGAAAATTTTATAACGTGATACGAGAGAGGCTTTTTGATGTATGAGAGATGCATTTTTCTGATTTTCCTTAGATCCCCCAGCCCGCACAAGTGTTTACTGGAGACGTCGTTCTGCGGAAGCAAGCCGACGCTAGCCGACAATCTGATAGAACCGTCGAAACCGGAGACCGATGATCTCGAGAAAATACTCTTGAAGCGAGAGGCTGACACCACGAAGGCGTTGATTCCTGAGAGTATCAAAGTGCCTATGGTAGGTGGCAATCTGAAGCCGGATCCACTGGACAAACCCAGAAGACGTGGTCGCGAGGAACGGAAGGAAATCTTCAAACGGGAGGTGGAAATCACCAAGAGATTTTTGGAGAAAGTTAACATAGAGGTTGGTACTGCTTATTAGGCCTGCCTATCTTATACTTTCCGAGTAGGTCAATATCTTATTGAAAAATATCGAGATAATATTCGCGTGAGTTTTACAATTTTACAATATTTTTTTATGTATCTACAATTATATTTTATTAGAATTTTCTTTAAATTGATTTTTTCTGGAGAATTCTCTTCAGTATTGATTAAATGGGACTTAAACGTAGGATGGTGCACGAGCGTTGAAAAAACTTTTCCCCTTCTCTACGACTAATTTTATTAATCGGCATATAAAAGAATCCCCCTTTTTAAATATACATCATTAAGCCTCTTGTTACTTCGCTACCTAGCTATCTACATCGGTGATGTCAAAAACACAACAACAACAATTTTATAAAGATAACAATTTTTATAAAGATTTTCAATGAAACATTTGAAATAACAGAATAGGTTTGTAAAATATATTAAAAGCTCCTCTTTGGTTTTAACAATCAATAAACGATCATATATCTAGAATTGAATTGTGTCTAATTAAGAACAAAAGTATTGACGTCACAATTCAAAATGGCTGCGATTATAACAATAAAAATCGCCTCCGATATTTGAATAAGATATAAATGAATATCTGTTTTCTGTCTAGTAGTGAAATGGCAAATTATATTTATTGTATACTATATCTTATAAATATAATATTTTTATTATATATCTTTTTTTCTCTCTCGTACTGTGTGTGCATGCGGGGACAGGTACCAATTATCAAGAAATCGAACGGACAACAAGGATCGACATCGCAACAACAACAGCAGCAACACCAGACAAAGATCCAAATCCAGGAGGTTCAGAAACCTGTGACACTCGATTTCAACGACAAAAGGAAAAAAACTCAAAACTTTAAGGAGATTATGCAGACGACACCTACAACGAGTAGCCTCACCGGAAGTCCCAAATTACCAAGACATCAAAAAGTTCGTGATCTTGAAGGCTCGCGGACGCCCAGTCCGTCGTCCGTATCCAGAAAGAGTAGTTTTGCTTCGTTATTCAAGGTTCGTAAATAATATCTTGCACGTAATTTTACATTATTAGTTTGCTGAAGAAAAAAGAAAATAGAGAAAAATTGAATGTACTTTTCACAAATAAAATACGAGAGATTGTTTTGAAACAATTCTTACTAATTGAATTTAACTTGAAATTATCACTGTAGTTATTTTCAATATATTTTTTATATAATAATTCTAATTATATATCTATCTTGATCTCATTTTCTATTATCAAGTTCTACTATAGCGTTGATTATTTTGTAATTAAACAAGGCTAGAACCGATGGCAGCGTGTTGAGCCCAGAATCGCCGTCACCTAGCACGAAGCCACGTCGAAGTTTGACGTCGAAATTGAAGGATACCACGGAAAGTCTAAGAAGCCGTTCAAAATCGCGCGAAAGAGTCACCGCCGATAAGAGTTCGGTTATGAAGAAGGATTCCAAGAACAAGGGAGTATTTTCGTCCACTCTAAGCCTCTTTAAGAAACGCGAAAGAAAGAAGAGCTATGACGAGGCGATCGCGGCTTCGTGCGATCTTGAAATCGCCAGCGGGGATGAACAACCCTCTCTGGAGAGTATCGGTCACGTGGAGTTTACGTTCAACACGGAGAAGGAAAGGAATCGTCAGGACGATTCGATCTTCATTAGTCTGCACGCCGACGACAGAAACTATGAGGAAGCTTTGCCATCGGAGAGCGTCTCGATACCGTTGGAAACGCCGACCAAACTGCTGGACGAGTACGAGTCCGAAGGACCGCATACGGGTAGCATAATCACGGAGGTGTCTATCGAGCATCATCCGGCGTCGCCGCCGTCGATCGCCAAAATTAGAACCGAGGCACAGATCGAGACGACGACGGTGACGCAGAACGCGTCCAGGAGTACGTCCAGAGAAAGTCGGCTCCAGCAGAGCGCACCGAAAGAGTCGGAAATGTTGAAAACCTCGTTGAAAGATTCAAGAATTAGCACGCAGACTAGTAAAGTCATCGAAATGCCGGTATCGGCCAAGTCGACTGCGATTAAATCGGATGTTAAACCGGACATTAAATCGGAAATTAAATCGACGGATTCGCGAGCATCGTCTAGCGGCTTGTCGAGAGAATCCAGTGGCAAAAAGCCGGATATAACGAAACCGAAAAGAAAAAGTAAGGAGAGTCAACAGCAGCAGCAGCAGCAGCAGCAACAACAACAACAACAACCCGAACCATCCATCGAGAGAATAGATGGCAATGTAGTGACGCAGCAGAAAAGGGTAAGCTCGGGAGAGCCTTCTCGAGCTGTTCAAGAACTAAAAAAGTTGATCTTCTCGATGACAAGGTCGGCAAATCGCAACAGCAGAGTTTGGTAAAAACGCCCAGCGTGATATCCGATCTGGATCACAACAGTTCCGAGTCCGAAAGAGACTCCGAGATCGAGTTCATCCGCAATAAGGTCGAGAAATTGGCTGAGGAGCTACCGGATGAACGAAAAGGTCTCTTTTATGAAGAGAGCTTCGAGGAAGATCTTCCATATGTACCGACGACTCTGCCATTGGAGAAAAGCGTCGCTGTACCTATTCTGCCGATTAAACAACGACTTCAGGAAGTAAGGTAATGCTTTTTAAACGATTCCCGGCCTCTCTATATACGTAAAATGTATATTCACGACATTCAAATTATGATATAAAATCAATTGGCTTTTAATTATTTTGTATTTTGAATATTAATATTAAGTCGCGACTCTCTTCAACAAATTCGCTGTCAATCTTATTGGCAGTTTGTTTACCAAATTGTAATTCGCATCTCACGTTGACAGGACGATTCCGATCGAGAGACCGCGCTCGACGACGCCGATAAATCCGACCTTGCTGGACGAGTTTGTGATGCAGACGTCATCGGACGAACGGCGCGTGGAGCGGATGAAGATATCTCTACCGCGGGAGGATAGCTTCAAGCTGAAGAGTCCGCGCCGGCAATACGCCAGCACGGCGAATACGTTCACGAAGTTTGCGGGCAAGGTACCGCCGGACGGCGGCCGCAAGGGCGCTGTCCATCAAGGAAAATCACCGAGTCCACCTCCACTGCCACCGAGAGCACCAGCAGCGGCAGCGGCAGCGGCAGCGGCGGCGGCCGCAGCGGCAGCGTCAGCGTCAACGGGAACAACGGCGGCGGCGGCGGCGGCGCGACCGAGCAACTGGATCAACTTCGAGGAGATACCGGAGAAGAGAAAAGCGCCGAAACGGATACAGACGATACCGCGACCGGAGGACGACATCGCGAAAAGTATCACCGGCGGTTACAGCTATGTGCAGCCGGAAGAGTGCAAGTGCGAGTGCCACGAGGAGTCTAGGCGGGCGTCCATGCGGGAGGCAGCGGCGGCAGCGGCGGTCGCGGCGGCTGTCGCCGCCACTGCCTCCAGCACCAGCACGAGGACCTCCTCTTGCAGCAGCAACGGTGAACGGCCGTGCAACGGCGAAAATTGCACGGCGCCGACCACCGGCGGCGGTAGCTCGGTCGACCGCGCCAGTATCGTCAGGTAAAACCGATCGGCCACCGATTGGCAACGCGAGCTAATCACGTGTCCCGCCTGGGACGATTCGCGAAGGCCCTAGTGACGAGTAGAAATTTGTTTCTGTACTTTCAGTGACAGCTCGCTAGAGTGTTCGCTGAGCAACGACGACGGCCAGAGCACGCAGGTGCTTCTCGGCAACTCGACGAAACCCTTCGCCATGGATCTCGACGTACGTTCCAACAGGTCGAGTATCATATCGCAGGAGGAAAACGACGAGAATCAGCACCAATAATAATAATAATTATTGTTGTTATTATTATTATTATTATAATCGATACTTGCATAGCGCACCCACGCCTTAGGATCTTCGGATTTTCCTTTTCTTCGTGTGGAAAGATGAATCCGAGTTTTTCCGATACGAATCAAAGGGCGATTTAATCCCGAAAGAGACGTTCTCCACCACGTTCTCTCTCTTTTCATCGCATTTTCTTTCTTCTGTGAAAAAAAAGAAAAATTTCACGAAGGATAAACTCGATACTCAGTTCTACGTGTTTTCGGTAGCGCGTCGTAGCGCGCGATAAAACTTTCGATTATCAAAGAGCACATCGCTCTCTCTCCTCTTCGAAATCAGTCCGTAAATCAGATTTCGAGATGTTCTTCGCCCTCAGCGTCACGTGGTTCCTCACTAACACGTCATTTTCGAACCATTTTCGCATTGCACCGCGTTCAGATATTTACATACGTTTACACGCGTTATACTTTTGCGACGGCATTGTTACATACCGCTGTCGCGGTTCTTTCCTTTCTTTCTCTTTCTTTTTCTTTCTCCTCTGAGGCTAATTCTTCTTGGGCGTTAGCTCCGTTCCTAATCGAAGATTACCACTTCTTTACGTTGGCTCGAGTCCATAACGTAAAAGAAAGAAATGAAGACGTTGCGTATTACACGTAACATACATTTCTCTTCTTACAAACAACGTAAAGAGCATTCGAGAGAGAAAAACCGCGATTGGACGCGGTTCTTATTTTAGTTAGTTTATCGCACGCACGCGTTGACAGTTTGTCAGGGACAAGACACATAGGGGCACCCGAGGATGGTGGCTCGCTAATGTTTTTACTAATATCTCCACAAATTAATCACTAGTTTTCTCTCGTCGAGGGAGAATCGCACCGCCGCGGAATGTCGATGAAATGCTCGGACGTATCGCTTGTATCTTACTCTTTTTGGAACAAAAAGGATATGAATAGCACGAAATATGAG